CAAAATAACTAACCATCGTTTTTTTTTTTTCGATGACAGATTGAAGAGGAACTGGCGGCACTTCAGAAGGAACGCACCGAAAAGATCAAGCACTTGTTGGAGCGTCAGGACAGAGAAATCAACACTTTCGAAACAGAAAGCCGAAGCCTCGGCTTTGGGAGCCTGGAATCTCTGGACTTCCCCAAAGAAGACAACAGATGAAAGTGGATTTATCTTCAGCGGACAACATATCTCTGCCCCCTTTTTCGCCTCCACTTGACAGTTTGTCACGTCCACGGTGACACGGCTGGAAAACTTTCTCTGTTGCTTTTCTTCTCTCTTAGATATTGCATCTTTGAAAGGCGTTGCGTGATGTGAGAACTTCTTTTGTGAAAGGGGGGGGGGGGGGGGGGGGGGTCTACAACAACATGTCAATAATAAATCAAACCTAGTCAGTGTAACTCAAAACTTGTGTGTTTAAAAATGACAGACTCTTTTCTCCATGCCGTCTCCTCCTTTTGGTATGAATTGGATAAATCAGGATATTTTAGTAAAAATTGGCACTTTTGATATGTTCAAGTAGAAAGCCATCATGTTCGTATGATGCTTAATGTGTGTGTTAACATGGAGGGACCACGTGGAATGTGAGCTGCGGACTCGCCGCGCGGTGTTCAGTGTGCGTTTGTCTTTTTGATTGGTTTCGTTTGATTTTGTTCCATTTGATTTTATGCTCTGAATGTGAATATTACTGTATGGGGTCACTGGAAAAGTCAGAGTTTCTTCTTTTCTTTAGTCATACTTCCATATCGTGCTTATGCATACAGTATACTGCGGTCCGTCACTTTTCCAGGCAACAGTTCTAACCCTTACTTTCATGTAGGGTCAATTGGCATTAGCTTGATCTGTTTATCTTATCACATTTCAAGATCCCACTTGGTAAAACTGCTTATTATTGCATGCACTTTAAGGACAAATTCAGGTTGTGAAGTGAAGCATGAATCTGTCAGAGATTTTAGCTGTTTGTAAATAAAAGCATTTTTTTGGGGGGTGGGTTTGTTTTAAGCCTATGGATACTGAACATAAGCGCCATATTTGATATGATAATTTCACAAATGCCTTTCTTTGAGTTGTGCCTGATGATTTTAGTTCCGTGTTTGTTTTATCTATATTTTATTTATTGAGGCCCGGCACCATTTTGTTTTGGTTTCATCCAAACTTGTGAATCATTTAATGTTCACTAATCAAAGTTCTTGTAAAGGAAAATGGTGAGAATTGTGCTGTATAACTTTTGATATGAATATTTGTACATGAGAATATAGCTAGAACATACAGAGACGCTGGTCTACTACTGATAACAGAGCTTAACAATTAACAGATTTTGCTTGATTTTTGTTTTATGATGTAGAGATATGGTCAGTCAATAGCTCAATATATGCTATGTCGAATCACAAGACTCTCAGATTGTATGAATGCTGGTGGATGGAACCACAGACTTATTTTAATACCAGAACCACAATCTTTTAGGGGTCGACGGTTCTACAAAAGCAAACACAACACGTGAGTCCAGATTGCATTTGAGTAATTAGTGTCTAATGATCAGATTAACATATTGTTTTGCCATGTTCATTATGGTCATTGAACAGGTTGCACAATGTTTCCATTAATCCTGAATGGAAAGATAATTGTTTGGTGCTTAATTTCTAATACCACCTTTAGCCTTGTAGTTTTTTGTCTTGGAGAGACGATTGATTTTTACAAAATGTGAACGTGAAGCATTTTGAAACCCCCTCTTGAGTCAAAACACTAAGTTTTTTAAACACTCATGACATATTTAGAGTGCCCCATGCAGTGAAACCCTCTAAAAATGAAGTATATGTATGAAAAAATAAATACTATTTTATCACAGGTCAGTTTTTGAAACATTGTTTAATGTGGTGCACTCGAATGCAATCCTGTCATGTTTAGCAGGTATTTCTTTCCCTGTTCTTCTTTTCTTTTCATTCCAGAGCCAAAACCTGTATAAATGTTTGGTCGTGTTCCTCACAGGAAAGACGGAAGACGCCCCCTAAATTAGTGGAGTGTCATGAATCACATTCTATTCCTGATGGCAATAGAACTCAAATGCTCTTGTTTTACACGCAGAAACCTAAAATATCGAATTTGTTGGACCAGAGTGTGTTCTGAAGTTAGATGGCGCCGTGGGATTTTTTCAGCTTTTTACACTTTCACACACTTTCTGAAATTTGATGAAAAAAGTTTCTCATATGCAGTAAGGCCTTTGTCTGGTCACATATTAATGAAGCCTTGCAGACAAATGGTTCCATACAAAAGTGCTACCGGGGTGCTTATGTGAGGTTTACCTGAGCTTTAGAGCGGTTATCCGAACCTCACGAGCTGTGCTTTTTAAGCTACTAGAAGGATGTACTTAGTTAGAATAAAGGGAACTTTCCTAAACGACCTTATTCGCCATTTCCTGTGCAGTTCAAAGACAAAATAAAAGAGATTCTGTTGAAAAAATAGGGTCTCAATCAACATGCATCTTATGACAGTGAATATGTCTTTGTTTCTCGTAATGCTCGCTTATCTTCGACATACTTCTTTTTGGTGCGATGTGACGGCCGTGACCTCAATTTGTCAACTGCGGTTTGTTGTAATTTACTGTAAAACTACAAACACACACACACGCACGCACATCAAAGACAGCTTGTGAAAACCAGAACCGTGAAATGCGGACGACGGTTTGAGGGAGAAGCGCTGCACACTGCTTTGTACTTTGCAAACGAAAGCAGGAATGCGACTGCTGTTTGCTCGACTCGTCTGCCGCCGTTGCCCACCTCACCACAACCCCCTCTTTCATCCCCTGGGGGGCAAGTGGAAAGCCCCGAGGGTGGCGGCGGGGTGGTTAGCTCTTACCTGGCGTGGTGCTGACGCCGTTGTGGTACGTCGAGTTCCCCCTGACTTTTTCTCAAGTAGTCAGTAGGACGAGGACGATAAAGACAACAATGGCAATCGGGTTTTGGTGCCGTTTCTGCCCTGCGGGCTGACCTCGTGTTAACCCCGCGTGGCAGACGCATCACAGGGCCCCCCCAACCCCCCCCCCCCCAGTGGAAATGATCAAGATTTCAGATGTCCAGAAAAAAAACATTTTGTTGTATCTCACGTACTCCTCTTTTCCCTCCTCACATTCTTTTCAAATGAATGAATGACTTCATGGTGAAACACCGTCATGGGAAAGTCACAAGTTCAAAAGCTCAAAAGTAGTGACGTGTTGCCATTGACATATCGCCTACTTCAGCCGCACGGAGCCTTCCTTTTACGTATTTGTAAAAGTTTCAGATTGAGAAATGCATTTCCTGTTCCTATTACAGCTTCCTGCTTGCGAAGCCTAATAGCAAATAAGCATATTGCTGCAAAATGACACGCGTGTTTCGAGGAGCAGGTAATTGTTACGACTCGACTCGGCCTCAGTCAGAAAGTCCCTTTTACACACACGTGGCTTCCTAAACAATGTTCTCATGTGATTTAGATATACCACATGTCACATTTCTAGTTTACGTACTCAAATCAAAAGGAAGTGCCATTAATAATAATCTGAGCTAATGACAATTAGACACCACTCCTACATGCCTGCTCTGTGACCAGGCACGCAGAGACATTGGTCAGTACTTTAATAAACAGGAAGGAAGAAAAAGGGTTACAACCGAAAAAAAAAAAAGACATTCTGGGAAATTCGGTTGCCTCACAAAGTGCATGTCATTTCCTCCTATGACAAATGCGCAGTTTCAGTCTTTAAAAAACGTCTTTAAGGAGTGTGATTATGAGGAGTCTGTGCAATTCGCGTGTGATTCTGCGAGGAGAATGAATGGTCATGTAAAGAGTCTGCGTTTTCAACCGTTTATGGAACCAGCAACAAGTAAGTTTTATCACATCTACTCTACTTTGTACCTTTTCTTGGCATTGTGCACGCTGCTGTGGTTACAAAAGCCGTGTTAAAACTGACTGAAGTGTGACAAGTGTGCTTTACAGTTTTAGTTTTTTGTTACTTCAGCATTTTTATTAGGAGAAAGAAGTTATGCACCTGGCAGAGACCAGACTAGTTTTCAGTGGAGTGAATTACTTTTTTAATTGTGTACTATTTAAAGAAAGCTCAAAGTCTGATGGCATCCAAACGATCTTTAACTATACACACATTGTTCTATAAAATGTCTGAATATGGACGACTTCTAGTGTCCTTTCTTTCTTGCTGAATATCTGCAAAGTGAGAAATCTATTCTAACAACTCCTGCTTACGCTGTGGCTTTGAGATGAGGTTCCCCTCAGCACCGCGATGTTGGACAACCTTTGCTGACCAGTTCTCTTCTCCACAGCGTTACTCTCCCTCCTGCTGGTTATGGCGGTCGATTCATCGAGAACTGTGGCGGCAACCAGGAACCAGCAGTGTGAGAATTCTCTGCAGCAGACTTGGAGGATCGCCCGACTCGTACAGAAGGAATCTGTCGAGCTGATCAAAACATACGTGAGTACAGACTTTGGAGTGGTGTATTTTATTTTTCTGCGTTGAACCCCCCATCCCCCCGTTCGGTGCTCCACCCTTATAACTTGCTATTCACGGGGCCTCCTTGAAGACTTCACTAATACCTGTTTTCTGTTGTTCTTGTTGCAGAAAACCTCTCAAGGAGAAAACGCAGAGCTCCTCTGCAAGGCGTCGTTCAACTACATCCCCGACCCCAACATCTCCGGCCTGGAGCCTTGGGAGAGGCTCCTGAGCATCTACAAGCATCTCCAGGACTTCTTCCCGCATTTCAGCCGAGTGTACGAGCAGCAGATGGACCTGCAGTCCCCGGCGAGCCGGCTGCTGGCCGAGCTCAACCGCACCAACGGCGGCAGGAGGAACCTGGCGGCTCTCATAAGCAGCTCGTACCAGAGCCTCTTCCCGAACCTGCCCATGCCGGAGCCGGCGGGGGGGCCGACCACGCTACCCTCGCCTCAGAACGTCTTCCAGCAGAAGGTCTACGGCTGCCAGGTGCTGAAGACCTACAGGGAGTTGGTGTCGAATGTTTGTCGAGAACTGAAGACTATGAAAAGCAAAGTGTGCAGAAGCAGGAAACCAGTGAACTTTACTGGAGGATTCCCTGAGGCTGGCCTCAGACGCTCCGTGATGAACAACAGAATGAAAGACTTTGAATGATAAGTGAGTGTGAAGGTGGCTGGTTCCTGTTCATAGTATTTAATGGAGATGATTTCATAATTTAACAATTATATTTATTTTCTTATTTGCAATACTAATAATAAAATAATACTACATGTTATTTATAACGCACTCAGACAAAGCAAAAGGTGGTAAAAAAAATACAATAAGAGGAACGCTGTTGAAGTTATTATTTAATATGTCTATGTTATGTCTATATCTAATATGTTACGTGTGGTACTACTTCACTGGTGTATTCTTAGAGTTATTAAAACATACTTATTATACCGCAGCATGATGTTAAGTCTTCATTTTTCTTCTGTGTTTGCATCAACAATGTACAATGTCAGCAACAAGGGAATTTCTGGGAAAGGGTTTCATGCACAACATGTGTGTCCCCCCCGCCCCGCCTCCCCCCCACAATATATCTGTTCCCACGCTGAGGAAAAGATATTCTGTGCATATGTTTTGTTTCAGAATAAGTAGTATAATCTGGGCTGGCAGGATCATGTGCCCAGTAAAGTCTATCGAGATGGGTTGAAAGAAAATCAGGAACCTGCTGAGACGCTGACGGTGTGATATCAGCTCAGAGTGACGCATGCGTTTGACACAAGGCCGTATCAGATAGGAAAGATTTCATGAAACTGGCGGACTGTCTGGCCAGTCACGGGGTGTGAAGTGCATGTGGGTCAGATATCTCTTTGTGTTGTTCGCACACATTCCTCCTCATGTGGATGGACACAAAAAAGGGTGTGAAGGACAGGATGGGAAAAATAGGAGAAGTAAAAGATTCGGCAGAACCCCCCCCCCGTTTTTTAAATAGCTGAATAGCAAAAACTGCCCACAAACCTTTTGTCTTTAAATACACATGTAGGTGTAATACACGGATACAAAAGATCTTAAGTGGAATTAAGTAATGCTTCACTAAAGTTTCCTCAGATCACAAGTTCTGAGGAAAATGGAAGTAGAGGGGAATTCACTCTGGGTCATGAATCAAGTTCCCTGTTATAACTTTGCTTCACGCAAACCCAGAGGCTACCTCAGGACAGCAGTCATTCATCTCGAATTCAAACTGCCGACTCAGCGCTTTACAGCACCACAGAATGATACTAACTAAACCTCAGCTGTGATGTCATGAGTCTCATGTCCTCCCTGTAAAACATTCTTGGTTCTTTAGAAATGGAATAACACAAGACGCCCAATTTGAACACCTACGGCAAGGATCAGCGTGCAGATTTCCGACAGAACCGCACGGAAAGATTGAGCCCGGGAGCCGGCGCCGTCATCCATTTACAGCACATCACACATTGAAGTGTGTGGACTTCTGCACAACTGCAATATATTGTTTCTAATGTATCCAAAGTCAAGAATGAATTTTCATTCAAATAGATTGTATTAAAAGAAGAGCTTAAACACAAGTGTAGTTCACTCACTTAAATTCCACTTTTGATAAAAGATTACATATCTGCTACTGTTATATAGATAATCCATAGGCATCAAAGGAGGCCAAGCTGTTGTCTTACTAAAATATAAAATAAAAATGTGTCTACAGTAACTTACGTATTTGGGCATATGACTGACTAGAGTGTTATTCGTGTACCATTGCGAGCATAATAACCCCCATGTATTCATACTAACACATGAATCACTATCAAACACGACTAAACATCGGATGGAACAACAAACTTTTATTTCAAAACCAGGTGATTCAAATCTCTGGAGTGTCCTGTGACTCAACAAGTAGAAACAATATATTATATATTGAAATACATACTTAGCAATCCGTTTGTGGGGGTTTCCCACCACAACATCGGAACATCTGTTGGGGCTGATTAGGGATCCTCGAGAAAAATGTCTAATCTCGGTTTACTGAGATTCATCAGACTGTTATCAACGGCGTTCACTAACCTCTCCCATACACAATATGACTGTCCACCAATGAACACAGGAAGGCAATAAGAAACCATTAAATATATTGTATTTTATTTCAAAATATGGACAGCTTCATAAAGTAAAAGCCCAAACGATATACTGACAAGGACCGTGAAAGCAACACATCTGATCTTCCAATGTATGTGCACCTGCAAAACAACAGCCGAGCATGTACCATGTGTAAAAGCACAGCATTAATAGCTACTATAGAAATGAAGTAGGACTATCAGGAATCAGATGCAGATTCTTTTGCATGTCTTACATCGTTTCACCTGTGGAGGGCAGCACACATCCATCACTGAACACATAGAAGAATGAAGTGCGTCACAGGTGCTGACAGGTCTCTTTGGAAACTCTGGACAGTGCAACTCACAGCAAATGTTGAAAAAGAAAGTGTAAGTATACATTCAGCTGAATAAACAGGTGTGGATGAAAAGCTTTAAGTTTGGGTGATTGTGACAGTGCAAGAAGGACCGACTGTTTGACGTCATCACGCCTTTTGAAGAAGTATCTTATCAGTCCTTCTTCAGAAAGACTGATAAGATCTATCTTTTACACATTTCATCTTGCAAGGCAACCCACCCATTTCCTTTCTTCAGAAACAGACACTGTTGACTAAAATAAGAGCTGATACATGCTGTTCCATTGTGCAAATGTAGTGTGCAGAGCATGCACCAATTGTCATTTCTATAATGACTAAAAGGCATCTCAAACGATTGTATTGCTATTAGGGCAGCCATCTAGACATAATACAGGATAAACCTTTAATCTGTAATAATTGTCCATTGACTGGTTGTTATCTCGTATTATTGCTACTGATCAAATAAGCTACTGCAGTACGGATCATTCCATTTGCATAGATATTAAAACATAAGTAAGGCATATTATTTAGTGCAAGCGACAAACTGTAAATAACAGACAGTGAAACCCTAATCATGCTTCTTCAGAGTTCTCCAGAGTCACTGCATAGTTTAGTGTACCGGCCTCACTTACACAAGGTTGTTGTGTCCATGTTCAGAAAGCGAATGTTCATTCTTGATTCAATCTCAAAGCCATTCAGCAACTACAAAAAAAAGTTTTACATTGTTTAAAACGTATATATATATATTTGGTAACGTCACTGTTAAAGTGGGTTTTTTGACTTCTCATTTGAACGTTCTAAATCCCAAAATTCTAAACTCAACCCAACTGTGTACCGACCTTGAGGAAATGCTCGAATGTGATTCCCTCATAGAACTCGTCGGGTTCCTGGGTGAGTGGAAAAAGGGAAGTTACAAACAAATAATGAATAAAACTTATCTTGAGCAATACTACATCTCACATACCATATGACCCATTGAGATACTCGCCACTTCTAGCATAGCAGCATCCGCTATGCTTTTGGCTGTGTCCTTCTCCAGTGCCTCGCTGAGAGAGAGCAGCTCCTCCACAACCTGGACGGGTGTGAACAACAAGTTGAAATAAAATAAGTTTTGCTACTGACGGGAATCAAATCCCGGGAGCCGAAAATGCTCGAGGGAAGGAGACGTCAGCAGACTTCCTCAATATGCAGAGTCAGTATCTTCAGCAACCTTCGAAACAGCCTCAGCTAACGGTGAAGCCGCGCTGGACTCCTGGGTGCAGGTTGCTCTGATCCTCACTGGTTGTGCGAGTAAAGTTCAGTAAAAAGCTGTGGTGGAGCAGAGGCTTACGTGTCGGTATTCCTCCAGGGTTATCGTCCCATCGTTGTCCGTGTCATGCATGTTGAATAGAACTGCAGAGAGAGAAAAAAAACAGGGCTAATCAGTTCAACGGGGCGGTGGGGAGATAACGGCAAGCATGTGATAGTGCGATTGTGAAGACACTACATCTCAGTTTGTCCCTGCGGACGGCCTCGCGCTGCTCCTCTGTGACGTGCAGGGACGGGGGCCTGAAGTGGGACATGATAACAAGAAACTCCTCGAAGCCGATGGCCTCCACGGTGCCCTCGCCGTTCTGCCGAAAGTTCCTGAAGGAGCGCGAAAGCACAGCAACTGAGCGGACAAGGCGTAGACAAGAATCGGACACGAATTCTCGGATGTTATCTCTCCCGGCACAAGTTCAGGCTTCTTCAGCACCACCACCACCACCACCACTGTACCTTCGGTCAAAGAAGGCCTCTATGATTTGAGAACGGATGGGATTGCTCTCCAGATCTGGGATTTTGCGGAAGTGTTCTCTCCTGAGGGTGTAGAGAGGGTTTTAAGGAGTGGCATATGGTGTCTCATCTCGTGGCATTGCCGTCGCGGTCATGTTTCAAGCTATTATGTGCAGATAGAAAGCCTGTTAGACAGGTTTCCGCTTCTAAAGAATTTCCCTGAGTAGAGCAAATAATAACAAACCAGAAACCTGAAGCAAACTTTGAAAAACTCACATTAGACCATAGAGTATTTTTTTTAAAAGTACACATACACCAGAGTGTCTTCATTGTGGCTCAACTGCTTGAATCTTTTATGGAGGATTCCAATCTGCTCGAATGAAACTGAAAAGAGAGAAGAGGCAACATGAAGTCATGCTATTGTGTGCGTACTGTACCTACATGAATGCACCTGCAGAAACAACTTGACAGTAATATTCGTTGCATTTGAATAAGTGATTTGATAAGCGAATGGTCGCAGCGTTTTATCCTCTCAAATGTGTGAAGCTTTCAAGGCGCGGATTTGAATGCTCATATTCTATGTAAAGCTTTGGGTTTGCTGTTGTCTGTCACCTGTAACCAGGCCTCCGAACTAAGGCAGCTGTTGTTGCCTACAGCAACACTCTCAGGTGGTTTAGGCAAAGCTTTCAGTGCATTGTCTGACCTATTATTAAATACGTCCATGTATGGTTCCACTTCCACTTCCAACTTAAAATGTGAGTGATTCATCCTGGTACTTTTTCTTTAAACGTGAGTAATTACGGGCTATGTGATCATCTCATGCATTCAACGCGTTCAACAAAAACCCTTTTAGATAAAACCGTATTACAAGTGAGACTGAATTACACACGTTATTTCCGGCGCAGTGAGCTAATGTTGTCACACGTCCTCCTACGTGCCCAAATGGTGCATTAAGTTGGATTCTGATTACTCACAACCGGTCTTTTTCGCCAGATCAACGTACTCTGGTTCGCCCGGTAAAGACTGCAGCGCTCCCATACCTCGGAAAATAAATGTTAAATAAAAAGAGAAGATTTTTCCACCGATCCGGTTGCACCGGGACCACAGACGAACTGGTGTTACTGGACCGAATGTCGGTGCATCTCGTCCACCTCCTCCAGACCGGTTGTACGACGCAGGTCTTTCCTCGCAGGTCGCATCCTGCAGGCGGCTTCCGCGACTGCTGCCTCGATGACGTCACACATTTCCGCACAACAGGCTGCGGATTGAATTATTTACAAGGAGTCGTTTATTAATTCAGAGGCTGCGACTACTAGCTGTGTTTGTTTTGTGCTCTACCAGAGTTCTCAGATATCCAAATAAGGTTTAAGATATCGTTTCAAACTGGAAACAAGTATTTGGGGTTTTGTCTTTAGTTTGTCTCAATATGATTTCTGGCCAGTCCAGTTTATTTCTTTAATTAATTTAACCAAACCTGTTTAAACTCTTTATTTTGCGGTACAACTAAAAAGAGAACACACCCGCAAAAGCTTTTTTAAATGTCAAGGATTGTTCCACAGTTCCACAGCCAAATATTTTAAGATCTAAATTCCAAACTACATCTAAGGTAAAAAAAAAAATAGAAAAACACATTTCAAGTGATGCTTTTTGGTAATTGTTTTGCAGAGAAACTTTCTACACATATGTTGATTAAATTAACTAATCAATTTGACGGTAGAATTTTGTGAATGTTAACTAAATAATAATTTATTTGGTGAAGTACAGCCCTAATTTTAGTATGAGGTCATAGAATATGAATATATATTATATTATATACAAAAATACTTTCATCCATTTGGTTCATAAAGTGGGCCTCCAAGGTACCATTGAAAGCTAAACCTGTCCAAAAGTTCATGTGGGATCTGAAAAGATCCCCGTAAATAATCATATGATGACTACGGTCCCAACTGTGATTATCAAACGTGGAGAAGACCAGCTTGTTCAAGCATGTAATACAACTGAAAATTGACCAAACAGAATTGAAACATGGCAAAGTGACATGCTAAACATGTTGTTGATCAAAACTATTCAGTACTAAAGACCACCACATGGCGGCAGCATTGGATCAACTACGTAAAATAACATCAGTTTGTGATATGAGAGAAGCATGAGATATATACATATGGAGTGTGTGTGTGTGTGTGTGTGTGTGTGTGTGTGTGTGCATTTGACTGCCTTTATTTCAAACTGTTTTTACTGTTTTTGTCTCTTGAAGCAGGCGTCTGTGTATCCTCTTCATATTAATTGATTATGTGCCATGTATTACATGTATTATATAAGTGTGCTTAAAACGAGAAGCATTTTAAGTTTGATTAAAGGTGCCAGCAGCATTGGTCGGGCCCTCGCACACGCATACACGTTGATGGTGTTTGCCGGAGGCTCTGATTGACGCTGTCATGCATTTCTGCGACCATCGGGAGCTGCTTGCACAAGTTTAGACGGTATTTCCTGTGTGTAGCAGCAGATTTGCCAGGTAATTTTGTCAGGTAAACCCTGAATTGTTTGAGCGTGTCTTGAAACCATGAATGTAAGCAGGTAAAGATCAACAAAAAACAAGTCTGTGTGTGTGTGTGAGAGTAGCTTTTGGTAACTTTTAATCAATAAGATCTCTAGATCGTAGTGAACACATTTGAAGTTGATCTGATCAATTGGTTGGGAGGAGATTGTACACCGCTTGAAAATGGTCAAAAAACCCAAAAGGAATTCAGACAAAATTATAAATGGCTGACTTCCTGTTGGGTTTAGAACATGGCCCCTAATCTGGTGCATCTTGGTCAATAGTACTTCATGGACTGCTCCGTCAAAATCCTGCAGAGGGCGCTATTGAGCCGAGTTGCCAGTCTAAAGCTCTAAAATCATACAAGATAACTAAATGTGGGACTTTAAATACAAGCATTTGAAGCCCCCCAAAAACACCTTTGTTTTTCATGGCGAAGAATGAGTCGCCACGGCAACACCTTTTCACCTAACAACACACTTTTGATACATTTTCATAGCAAAGTTCACTAGATGATATTGATCAGATGAGCCCCCTGTGAAGTTGGTCGTAAATTGTTGGGAGCTCTTTGTTATATCAGCGCCAATTAGTGACTTTGATAAGTAACTAAATGTTACTTTGGTGCAAATTCTAATTCAAATCCACATTCAAAGATACAAGGCTTTTCTTCAAGTTTCCCACTTCAAGTTGGTTGATGAAACCTTGCCTTCCACCATAAAACAAAACAGTTTTTTCATTTGTTCAAGCCCCATACACTGTAACAAATTGCTGTAAATTTACGGTGCATTTCTAACGGTATCTTACAGTATGTCATAATAACTGTAACATACAGTTACATTTCCATCCCTTGCTTGTAAATTAACGGTCAATGTCATGAATAAACAGTTAAACCTGTCAATTTACAATAATAGCAGACTACCGTAATTCAACTGCATCTTACATATATTTTAAGTGGTGGAAATACACATACAAGTGCAGTGAATCACAATCCATCTACATCTGTTATAGGTTGATGTATGGAAGCCCATGTCAGCCACTGAAAAACAGGTCCTGTAAGTCATTATAATGAGATAGTGTCTCATGAGATACGATGATGACTTTGACTTACAGGACATTACTACACATGCAGCTGTCACTTTTATCCAAAACGCCCATGGTTTGACATCATTTTATGTGGAGTAATTGGCGGTTAGGTGTCTTGCTCAGGGACACAGGATTCGAACCGCCAACCTTGTGCTGCACATCACACCCTCCCTATCCCATGCGCCGCCTTCGCTGACTGCCAGGTAAATTGCAGTTAATTCACAGTAAAATTTGTTCAAGTTTACGGTAAAATACAGTAATCCAATTCACGGTAACATAGTGTAAAAACCATTTATGGTATTATACCGTAAAATAACGGCAAATTCCTGGCATCCTTGCTGCCAGTAAAATACCGTTAATTTTTGACATTTTTTGAGTGTAGGCCACCCAGCAGATCACATGCACACAACATGATATCCTTTATGGCATATGAGGTTGTAGCTTTGGTCTGTTTTGTTAAAACTAACCCACTTACAACATGAGAAACCCATAAATTAAAAGGATGCATAAAATGCTTGAAATAAGGTCTCTGACAGCTGAGAGTAAAGGAGAGTCCTGATGTCGGAAAGAGTTCAAATATTCTCCCTTTGCGTGGGGATTTTCACATCTGGCCATGCACAATCAATCCGGCCTGAAAAACAGCAATACAATTTCTTTTTTTCCTTATCAGTCCCTGCCCTTGAAATGTGATTTCACTTGAAATTGTGTGCAGTGTTTCTGTGTCACTATTACTGAGTGCACCACGTCTGATGGCTTGAAATTGATTTGAATGAAGACTCTGATTCGCAGAAAGAAAGAGAGAGAGAGAGAAAGGTGGGCGAGGAGGTGTCGGTTATGTATCGAGACAAAAAAGGGGGCGGGAGAGCGCAGCCAAGGAGAGACAGGGCAGCCTGAGCCTGTTTTGCATGCAGGGGGGGGGCTTCTGTGGGAGAAGGAGCTGACAGGGCGTCGCATTGCTGCCTCCAGCTCCCAGACAACAGCTGCTCAGAAAGAGGAGACGTCCTGAGGGTGCTGCGACATGTCTCGCTCTTTCTCCATCTCACCGGCCTGCCTCTCCCCTTCACATCCTCGCGCCTGCCTCCCTCAATGACACACACACACACACACTCACACAGGCATGCTCATCCGAGGGGAGGGGTAGGGGGGGGGGGGTGAGATTCCTGCCTTCTGCCTGTACTCGAGCTCAACATTTAAAATGAAACCAGGTGAATCTGAATTTTTGATGGAACCCGTTGTTTGTTCCGCTCACTTGGAAGGAGGTTTGTGAAAATGCATTTTAATCAGCATTTTAATTGAAAGGAAATATTCTTTCTCTACTGATGATGACAGAAATTCAAGAAGACAAGCCTTTGTTTTATCATGAAAAGCCTATATTTTTCATTTTGGCATTGGTGTAATGTGTTTATACTTATGAATTTTTGACAGCTTTTGATCTACTTCCTCATGCAAAGAATAGAAAACCAATTTCTGCTGAGGATTATCTCCATCCTGTCGACCACATAGCACAATATTTGTATTTTTCTTTTCACCATATCTTTGTGTTAGAATAAATCCTTTATATCTCATATTGTGAGATTAGTTTCATATGACAGCTCACATAACCTTAGCCTGGCAAAACCTTTTCCTGTCACAGACAGAAGCTTTTTAAAGAAATAATCTTCGGCAACAAGTTGCTCTATTCAGCATTCATATGCAGTACACGTTTGATAAAATATTTATAATGCAGCTGGAAGGCGAAACGTTTTAATGTAAATATCAGCATCTGTCCAGCTGTTGGTGGGGAGCTGGTGTGTGAACAGATAATGTAGTGATGACATTGTGATAGGAGAAGTTATATGTCTCTATAGCTGAATGCATCTGCATTGTAGCGTTTTCTAATCCATTAATTAAATGTATCCGGGCTGCTTCTAAAAGCCACGGGGACTTAGAAATGATCGCTTGACAGATTCATAAATGCCCCTAAAGGCGTAATATACACAAATAAAAATGCAGCTGAAATAAGAATCAGAAGCTTCTTGTTTGGGTCCTATCGGTTCTAAAATCAAAACATCCTGACTGGTTGTCGAGAGTTAATTACAGCACGCCACAAACTTCCATGTGGCTGTAAAAAGAATGAAAAAGCATTTCACAAAGAAAGGTTTTTTGGGAATAGCAATGACAATGCCTGTATTGTCATCTTTATCTTACAACCGGAAAGTTATTTTGCAGCCTTTGAATTATAGGAGATAAAAGGACATGCTGGTGTGTGTTTTTTTTTTACTTTTCGCCCTTGGTTTGTCAATATAACACAGGAGGAGGGACTGCAGAGGCTTGGACGGGGCGTGCTCTCATTCCCAGCAGAAAGAAATCAATTTCAGAGTACAACCAATTCAGAGGCAGCCAAAGACGGGACTGAGTTACATTGTAAGACGGAAAGGTTGTAGAAAGGTCAAAGCAGTTTTAGAAATATAAGAGTCGTTATTTCATGATCCGGAAGACTTAATTAGGATTAAGAAAAAAATCCATAAAAGACATCTAGTTTCAAGAGGAGGCAGAATGGTCTTTTCCCCAACGACTTGCTCCGGTTCCTTAAGGGGGGAAAAGTTTGTCCTGGATCTGTTCCTC